GGCTGAGAGCAGACCTGGCCGAAATTGTCCGCGAGACAGACTCCTGAAACAGACCAGCGCTGGCGGAAACGGGACCCGTCTCGTGATTGGACGGGATGGCAGCCCCGTGAGTGTGTTGGTCCCCCCGGGACCCCACGAAGATGCCACCCGTCTCTTCTCTGGAGCCCAGTGACTCCACGCTCCCCCGAGGAGTTGCCGCAGGCGCGGGGCCGCACACAGAAGGGTAAAACGCGTGCGTCCTTCGTACTCTGTGCCGACGAACAGCAGATGGACAGAGACTGAAGTGAGAAACAAACTAGTTGAGCCGTAACATACACATAAGCAGAGTAAAAAGTCAAACAGGTGGAGAGGACAAGACCTGCGACTTCTAACAGGGAAGGTGAACATCTCATAAATAACACATGGAAGGCAGAGCAGAGGCCCGGGGCTGAGAGGAGAAACAGGCAAGACGTGGGAACAGACAGCTCGTGGAAAGAGAAACGCAAAAGGGTTTTGATGTGTGAAGACACAGCTCAGACTCCTTAGAACAGAAATGCAAACCGAGAGCACCTCTGGCCATCAGTCCCTCCCCCCCAGGTCCGCGGAAACCCCCCAGCTGACAGGGCGCCGTGGCATTGACTGAGCCAGCATCCCACTTCCGAGGACCGCCCAGGGACCTGCTGGCAGCAGTGGAGAGCAGTTTGTGCCCTGAGCTGTGCATCGTGGCCACGTGCCACGTGTAGGTGCGCGTTCCCCAAACCGCGCTGCGCCCACACGCCGGCTGTCAGGGCGGCATGACCAGAGAGCTCTATGAGCGGGCCCCAGGACGTGCGTGTGGGTGTACTCACTCTGATAGTTTGTAAGTGGTCACCTGGAGGCAAGGAGAGTGGGACTGCTTAGCATAAGCCTCATGACCGCAACCATCCAATGTTCTGTAATACTACAAATTGAATAAAAGCTTCTTAAAATGTCACTTGGAAACGAAAAGCAAAATGTGTATCAAAAATGATGTAGGGGCACCTGGGTGGTTCAGTCGGTTAAGCGTCTGACTCTTGGTTTTGGCTCAGGTCGTGGTCTCACGGTTCGTGGGATGGAGCCCTGTGTGCTCTGGGCTGGCAGTGCAGAGCCTGCTTGGGACGTCTCTCTCTCTGTCTCTCTCTGTCTGCCTCTGTGCCCCTCCCTGTCTTTCTGCCCCCACCTTCTCTCAAAATAAATGAATAAATAAACTTAAAAAAACGGGTGTAAACTAACAAAAAGGATAACCCCTCAGGGAAGAGTTATTTGAGGTAATTAAACCATGGACATTTGACACATGCCCCCAGTGGGCTCTGCACCAAGGACGAGACCTACAAAAAAAGCCCTAAACAAGTTGTTTTCTATGATCGTCTTATTGGTAATAACCTTGGTGTCATTTTGCACCTGCTGTGTGTGTTTGAGGATAAAGTGGCAGTGTGCTTGCATTCGCATCGTTACGTGTGGACTCTCGTCATGGAGGCTGGGGCACAGCCTGCCCAGGAAGCTGATCCGTGACCCTGTCATCCCAGATGGATTTGGAACTGTCACTCTGAACTCCTAAGGTCTTTAAATGCAAAAAGCTCATCTCCTCGCTCTCTGTCACCAAGTCCCCAGAACGAGCGCCAGCAAACACCTCAGTGCTTTCCTGCAGGGGCAGTAGTGCTCCCGGTGGCTCCTCCCCGGTCTGAGCTGTCCCTGAACTGTGCTCCGAACTGTCCTCCAAGCTGTCCCCGAGCTGTCTCCTGAGCTCTCCACCAAGCTGTCCCTGAGCCATTCCCCGAGCTCTCCCCTGAGCTGTCCCCCAAGCTGCTCCCCTGAGCTGTCCCCTGAGTTCTCCCCCGAGCTCTCCCCCAAGCCATCCCCCGAGCTGTCCCCCAAGCTCTCC